TAAAATATGAAAATGTCAGGAACTTACTTTCTGTTCAATCGTGTGCGAACAAAGGTTGTATTGTTACATTCGATAGTAATAAGTATACCATTAAAAGAAATAATGTACTTATAGCTCATAGGTTTTGTTGTTACATTTGATAGTAATAAGTGTACCATTAAAAGAAATAATGTACTTTTAGACCATGGCAATGCACAACAAGGCTTATATAAATCGAGGGCAAGGCCCAGTTGACAAGAAAACTTATTCAGCTAATGGTATTATATGTTCTAATACAAACTGCATATTAAAATGGCATCAAAGGTTAGGTCACAAAACTATAGATGTGATAAAAAAAACTTGAGAAAAATAATCTAGCAGTAGGTATTAAATTTAGCAAATGCACACTACATGTTAAAAGCAAAACTAACAGAAAAACCTCATCCGAAAACTAGTTTTAGATATAAGAATTCACTAGATTTAGTGCACTCAGATGTTTGTGGGCCAATGAAAGTTAATAGCTTAGGATGGAAAAGATATTTCCTAATTTTCATTGGTGAATATTCACGTTATACTCAAATTTATTTTATTGCTTCAAAAGATGAAGTTTTAGACAAACAGTATGTTGCATTAAGAACAAATAAAGGTTCTCAGATCTGACAATAGTACTGAATATTGCAATGGAACTATTGAAGATTATTTTTTAAAGAAACATTAAATTCATTAAACTTCGGGTCTTTATTACTCAGCACAGAACAGCAACGCAGAAAGAAAAAAAAAAGTTCTTTAATACAAATGACAAAAGCTGTGCTATTAAATTCAAAATTACCGAGGGGTTTCTGGACTGAAGCAGCAGCTACTGCCGCATATCTTCAAAATGGGTTACCAACCAAAGCCACGTATAAAACATCGTAATTACGGAATGGCAGAAAACCTAATTTAAGTCATCTAAGTATTTGGATGTAAAGCATATTATTTAGCGAACAAACAAAAAGCGACGGAAATTAAGATAACAAAAAGCAGGAAGGAATATTCATAGGATAAAATTTAAGAAGCAAAAGACACAGGATATATGGAGATGGAAGGAAAATAACAGTTAGTAGAACTGTTAAATTTTCAGAAACTGTGCCTGTATCTGACAAACATGTACAAAATAATACCAAAGATTTAGAATTAATTCATTTTGATATCTCGGAAAGTGCTGAAGAAAATAACAAAGAAATACCTCTTGATGATGATTGTATAAAAGATTCAAAAGGATCTGAAGAATTAATTAAATGTGAAGAAGAAAGTGTAGAAAGAACGGTTTCTAGTAAAACTAAGGGTAATTTCCACTAAACTGATTCTCCTATAAAGCAGAAGACGAAAGATCAACATTACCTTGAAATAAAGATCCAGAAAGTTTTAAAGAAATTTTAAGCTTACCAAAATGAGAACAAGAAGCTTGGATCAAGGCGATGGAAGAAATAAATTCTCTAAAAGAAAATTGAAACTTATCAGCTTACAGATTTACCACTAGGAAAACATGAAAGCATGCAGTAGGCAGTAAATGTATGTTTAAAATCAAATAGAATGAAACTGATATAAAGATAAAACACAAAGCAAGATCAGTAGCCAAAGGATTTACCCAAAAATATGGCAATGATTATGGTGAAACATTTTCACCAGTTTGAAACACACTACAATTAAAAGTGTTTTTAGCAGGGGCAGCATATAAAAGTTTAAAAATTCATCAACTAGATGTTAAAACAGCATTTCTGCATGTCAAGTTAAATGAAGAAATATGCATGGAACAACCAGAAGGATTTGTAGTTCCAGAAGAAATAAATAAAGTTTGTAAATTAAAGAAGGCAATTTATGGTCTTAAACAAGCAGCTAAGTTTTGGAGAAATTAAAAATACACTGAAAAATATTGGGTTCAATCAAAACACAGCAGATTCATGTCTTTTCACAAAAGGGGATTGTGATAAAAGAATTAATGTATTTGTGTATGTTGATGATATTCTAATAAGTTCTAAAGAAGAATAAGAAATTTTTTAAGTAATTAGCGATTTAAAGAAATATTATCTAATAAAACATCTAGGTGAAGTTAAATATTTCTTAGACATGGAAAGAAATCGAAATGAGGATGGAAGTTATCTCTTATCTCAGAAAAATAAATCAGCTTGTCAAGCAATTTCAATTTGAAGAAGAAAAACTTACTAGCATGCCAATGAAAACAAATTATTAGTGTGTAAATAAAGAAGAAAATCTTCAACTTTTCCAATGATACATTTCGCCAAGCCATTGGAAGTCTTTTGTATATATCGTAAATCACAAAACCAGATATCACAGCTTCAGCTCACATACTTAGCAGAAGATTTAATAATTCACATCAAAAAAGACCGGATTGCTGTAAAAAGAATCATTACACATTTGAATACAACAAAACTTCTACATATTATGGAGAGTGAATAACCTAGTCTTAGTTTATTCAGATGCTGATTGGAGACAAGATATTAAGGCAGAAAATCCACATCAGGAAGTGTAATTTTATTAGCCAAAAATTGTGTTTCATGGTTTTTTAAAAAACAAACATATGTCTCTTAATCTTCAGCAGAAGGTGAATATGTTGCTCTCTCACAAGCAATGCAAGAATTATTGCGGCTGTTGTAATTAACAGAAGATTTAAATCTACCCCCGACTTTAGAAAAAGTGTTTATTGGTAAAGTTGGGGGTACAGTGTTTGAAAAGTACAGCTCGCGCTAAACACATTGACATAAAGTTTCATCATATATGCGATTTGCATAACAAAAGAATTATAAAACTGTCTTATTTTTCAACAGAGCAAATGATTGCTGATATTATGACTAAACCCATTTCTAAAGCTAACAGTTTTGCAGGAATCAATTACAACTGGCATGAATTTCATTAGCAAAACAAGAGCAATGTTAGATTAAATTAGTGTCACTTTTGTATAATGAAACTCTTCAACATAAAAAAAAAAAAAAAAAAGAGCGCTAAATGATACACTGGTGAGAGTATGTTCTTTTCAGATGCAAACAAGTCTTAAAAAGGTTTTGCACTTGCATTATTTTTTGTGCTTCATTCTTTTCATCATGTTACCTTCTTTTATAGAATACACGCCTGCTAATATTATCTAATAAGCCTGAAGCTATTTAAACCTTATAAATGAATCTCTTATAAGTTTTTTTATTTCAACACTTCAATTCAAATGTTTGTAAAGACTGTTAACTTTGATTTGTGTTCTATTTGTATTCTATCCGAGTTAAGAAAATTCTCCAAGTTGTTAAATAAAGATAAGTTTATTCTAACTTATGATTCTTTAATAAAACTGTGCTAAAGATAGGATAGTGTATTAAAACGCCTTAACAGTGTTAAATGCACGGCATATAAAAAATACAACAAATACCCTTGAATATTTAAGGAAACTTGCCCCAGCTGGCAAATAAATAAAAACACTTATCAAAAGCAGATCAGCATACAAAAGAGGACACTCAGGAAATAAACTACTTCCTTGTGCATTACCTAAGTTCTCTCTAAATTCCAGCTAATTTGCATTATGGCGGAGGCTGACAACAGAAATAAAAGTTACAGGAAAGAATTTACAAAAAAAATAAAATAAAATGTCAGCTAAAATAAATCTTATATGTCACTTGTTCAATCTGATTAGCAATGATTATAAAAACACTATATGAAATCAACACTAGTGAAATATGTTTATTAAACATGGTGCAGTTTAATTTGTTTTAACAAATGTATTTCTCTAAGTTGGAAATCAAAATATTCCTTTCCCCCCCCTTTTTTTTTTTTACTTTCTAAGCCTACCCTTGCATTTTATGCTAGTTCTTTTGTTTGTGTAACAGAAATTTTTATGACAATGAACTCTGCAGGAACTTAATGAGCATGTTATATAAGGATTTCCCGTAGGTCTTACATATGTCTTGTTTTATAATTTACTTATAAAGGTTACAAAGAAAAACAGAAGCCATTTTATACAATTTTTTAGTGATTTCATCACTTCTATAACATTATTCTGTTCAAAACAAACATATCTATACAAAAAATACATGGAATATCTTCACATAAGCTACAATAAAAGCACTATAAATGTATGAAATAAAGCTCAAATAACAGAAGTCATTCTATATATACTAAAAAGTACATCAGCATAATGTTCTAGACTTATAAATAGATAACAACTGAAAGCACTGATTATTTTGTCACATATTAAATATAATAATAATAGTATATCACAGCTCTTTCAAAAAGAATATGTTGGGCCTTTTGAACAATTTGGCCGAGATGATTTGGCATCAAAGAAGCAATAAAAAGAAGGAAAAGCAGTAAAAACAATAATAATTAAACTTTTACAATGCGTATAAATGCTGATTGCAATATCAGTCACCCCCCCCAAAAAGTGGTGAATGGTAATTTTATCACAAGAATTTTTATCCATTTCTTTTAGAAATTGGAGTATTTTCAACTGTAATTCACACACATTACAGTATTATGTTATTACAATGAAAATAATGTAATAAAGCACATTCAAAAAGAGTATTAGAGGTATGCCATAGCACACTTTAAAAACCATTATTAGGTTTATACAAAAATGGTTACAAATAATTTTGAAATATTGATATTTTCTTTTGACAGAAACACTACACTCTTCATTTAGAAGAAAAGGATTATAAGTAACACATGCATACTTTGAGAACAGTAACTTGAAACCATATCTAAAATGAATGAATAGTTTAATAGAATAAAGGGGAAAAGGCATCTACAATCTCAGAAAACAATCTTAGATACTTATTTAAAAAATAAATAAAAAAAAAAAAAAAAAAAAAGTAGATTTAACAGAAATGACATGACACACATTCACATTTTTACTATAATTATTAAATGCATTTAAGTAGTTCATAAAACTATTTCAACATGAACAGGAAAATGATTAAATCAAAAAAAAAAAAATATATATATAACTCCTTAAAAACAGTTAATTTTATTTGTAAAATACTCACCATTTTAAAACTGTTTACTGGCACATTTAAAAAATCATGTAATAAATTAAAAATACAAGTGCAGAGGATAGCAGTTTTAAGTTTTTACACATAAAATGTTATTTTAGATTTTAAAAAAGTAATATGCATTATAATACACAGAATTTTTGAACAAATACAACAGCAATTGAAGGCATATTAACATAAATTATTCTATTCATAAAACTGAATCAAATAACTGACAGCAACTATTCTTAAAATTTAACTAGTCATACTTCACTCAGAATGCTTTTAATTTGTTTTGCTCCCCCCTCCATGAATAGTACCTTTCTTAATTGCATCGTATCAACTTTGTTTATGATTTACACTCAATGCATAAATAATTTCCGAATATTTTAATACTATACCTACAAAATGACCTATATGAATTTGTATGTATGTATGAACTTTCAATTTGTAACTGACTATTGCAGATCCAGAATCGAATATAAAACTACATGTAATTCTATTGAGTAACTACTTTGTATTTCCAATATACTAATTAATATATTTTAATTACAGTACAGTCTCACTTATCCGACATACCCTCACACCAAAAAGTAATAATAATAATAAATAAAAAGCATCAAACAGCAACAAGGACTGTATGTAATTAACGAAACCTTTTTGTTCCTATTGTTGCTGCTCCCAACCCTGGTGCGCCTATTTAGGTACGACTCATGGATCTGTCATTCAGTGAAGAGCAGAATCATTACAAGAGGATCAATTTATATCCATCTGTTACTATTTATACATATGTATATGTGTGTGTGATGTGTTTAATTTGAGAAACATTGTAGTGGTGTTTAAAAGCTGAAATTTATACAAGTACAGAAATATTGGTGATAAAAAGAAAGTCGTTGCATTGATGAAACAAGTACTTGAGGCAATCAAAACACTGGATAAGACAGAGACAAAACATAAGATAGTTGATGACTTTGGACAGGTAACAGCAGGAGACAGGAAAAAGAAGCAAATAGAAAAATAGTATGCATTAAGAGTTATTTTGTGAAATATGCAGAATGCATTAAAAGAAAGAAAAACTACGAAAAAGTGATTGAAGTGTTCTATGTTTGCTTTACACACAGTATGAAATAACTAATGATGAATATTTCAGGACTTATTTTACATAAAAAGACACTGCATTTTCAGAATGATTTCAAAGGTAGTGTCAGCTGGCTCAGCCGATGGAAGAAATGCTACGGTACCTATTAGTTAAGCTTTTGCAATGAAAAACATATCAACAAATTTTGAAGAAATTGAAGCATTCAATAAAACATTTCGGGATAATAGAAACTGAAAGCTTAATGGATGATCAGATATTTCACTGTGATGAGTCAGGACTTAACTGCAAAAAGTTACCTGGTAAGAATCCTGCAGCCAGAAATGAAGTGGCAGCCCCTGGCTATAAGAGTAGTAAGGAATGGATGACGGTTTCAGAATGCTAAAATGCTACATCAAATCCTAAAATGCACCTTGTAATGATTGGAAAGCATAAAATTCTAGAGCCTCTAAAATAGTTTAAAAAAGCACTATGCCTGCAAAATACTTCAAGCAGAATAAGAAAGGATAAGCAGTGATATTTTTAAGCCCTGTAACAATTGGAAAGTTGCATATTTCTACTTTTAAAATAGTCTTAAAAACACTGTACCTTTAAAATACTTTAGAGAGAAAATTGCATGGCTGAGCAGTAAAATTTTCAAAGACTAGTTCTTTAAAGAATTTCTTCCTTCAACAGAAAGTTTTTGATAGAAAATAATTAAGCAAGAAAAGTTATTTAGTCACTAGGTAATGTTCCAATACACTCTGATACAAGGGAGCTTCAAGATGGTAACATTAAGGCAATGTTTCTACCCCCTCAATGTAACTGCCATATGCCAACCCGTAGATCAGGGCATTTTAGAAATGATAAAAAGGAACTATCACAGGAAGCTACTGTCCACACTGATAGACAAAATTGAAGAAGGATAAGACATGATTCAAAAACTGAAATGCATCAATGTAAAGGATGCAGCTTATTGGGTTAAACAGGCCTGGGCTGACATTAAGGGCTACAACAACTGCCAAACCATGTAATAAGCTAAAGGGCGATGATGAAAGTATAAAAATGAAAAGCACAGATAAAACCAAAGAAACCAGTCTAGCTTTAGTGCAACATATCCGTGGATATGAAGATGCATCTTTGCAAGTTGGATGATGGTTGATGAACAATATGAAATAACTAATGAGGAAACTGTTGCTCTTGTCAATTACAATGAAAACAAAACTGAAGATCATGATCAAGAACTGTTAAGCCTCACAAAATTCCACATAACATCAAATCTAAGGCTCCAGAAACTAAATCTATTGAGCTATAAGAAGGTGCAAGAATCAATATGATGCTGCAAATATGGCAACACTTTGCAGCAAAGAAACAAACTCATTAGGAAAGCAGACTATGATCAAAATTTTCTTTCAATCATTACAGGACTCAATTTCTGAAGTACTGCATGTAATGTTTTTAATTTCAGAATATTCTATGACTAAGTTCATTTTTTTCAGTTTATTTCTCCTGCTCTGTTACAAAACATGATTATGTTTGTAAAGTGTATATAATATAGTTTAATGTTTAACAAACATTTTCTTAACACTTCCCTATTATCTGACACTCTTGCTTATATGATGTTCTGCCTGCCTGTTTATGTCAGATACGTGAGACTCTACTGATTTCCTTTTTGTAAGATTTATATTTTTACTTGTCATTCTTTATGAAATATATACTTTCACATACAATGCGTATGTTAACCAGATTTCTAATTATTATAGAGTATGGTTTTGATCTTCTCCCCCCCCTCCCAAAAAAAAAACCAAGCCATCATTGACAAAATTACACTTGATTATATACTCAGTCAGATAAAATTATATTCGTATGAAATCATTTATTAAATTTTAGGACAGAATAAGAAGAGTTAAAAACATTACCAGCAATTTGCAACATTTTAAAAACAATTTTATAAAAGTTTAGTATGCAAAACCAAATCAAAAAATATTTCTATTGTTAATATAACAATTCAATATTTCTAAATATACTTTAATATTTCTAAAAAAAAGATATGGCATATGCTCTACTTCAATATAATAAATTAACTATACACTTTTTACACACAAATTTCTCCATAAAAGCATCAACTAGATGAAGATGGAGGTCGATCTGCAGCAGAGTCGCAAGAGATGGTTACTTTATCGCAGTCTGGATCTACATTTTCAGTAACTGGGTCTGGTTCCTTTTGAGATTTCAAATTCTCGGAGCTTACAAACTTTGAAGGACCTGAGCTCTGTGAGAGTTTGTTTGCATTTGAAGCATTACCAGTGGGTTCAAGTAATAAAGAATTTAATACAGGTTGACTAACAGATGTGGAAATTTCAATATTATCGCTTTTAGTCCGACGAGATTCATCATTTGGTTGAGATGGTGAGTAATGTATTCTCTGTTTAAATACTGATTTATCACTTTGTGAAAAACATATTTCAGGAGTCCTAGTACCAGATGTCCTTAGAGGTTCATAACTGAGATATTCGCTCACAGAGCAGGAACTTGAACTTATTGGTAATTCATTTTTACCTATATTGGGAAAAAAAAAAAATTATTAAACATTAAAATAATTCTGAAAATACCAGGACACCTTTATGATGATGGCCTGTTACAAACACGCCAACACATTTGTAAGATAATATTGATTGTATAACACAGATGATTTATCTTGCAAACAAAAGATGCAGTTTTAGATATTGACAACTATAGCATCAGATATTAACAAGTGAAGTCTAAAAGTTCATAGATACTTCAAAAATTTATAAACAAAGGGGTGCAACAGAATAATGTTTACAAGAAAATGCATTCCCCCTTCTTTTGGGGAAAGGGGGAGGAGGGATTGAGAGTAAATATTTAATTCAATTTTTTACCAATAAAAAGCATTCTACCATACCCATAGTAATGATTAAAGTCATATCAGTTTTGAAAATGATTTATTCAGAAATAAGAAATCCCATACTGAAGTTGTACATGTAAAGGTTTTCATGATTTCCATAAAGAGAAGAATCTATTCAATATTAATTTTATTGTTATTCTCATTCTGATCATCTTTACTGAAATCTTCAGCAAAAAGGTGAACTAAACATTTATTCTCAGTCAGGAAAAATAGCCTCCCTTTAAAAGTATTTTTTAGAAAACTTTTGTATACTTTTTGTCCATACTTTGTAACATCTACTTACTAAACTCAGTTCTTTAAGAACTTCTGATTTTTCAAGACTTTTATGAACGTATCACCTTATCGATTTATCCCTTATGATCTTTTAAATACATTCCCAGCTTATTTTTAAAATGAGATAATCTATTATGTAACTCATATAAAAAACAAAATATTTGTTGAGTGATTGGGTATTTTCTGATTATCTGCACCCCCATCAAAAGATATTCTTTAGGCATAATAATATGTCAACATGCACAAATAATATTCTTTAGGCATAACAATATGTCACCAACATACTAATAAGACAAACCATGATGTCACCCAAAAGTATTTATGTGGCAACCTTGATATGGATATAGCACATTTGTTTTAGCCAGTGTGCAATTCCAAAGTTGTATGATGCCAACTCATGATGTGCAACTCTTTGATGCTATTTTAAGATAAAACTTATCACTGTATACATGTGAAGAACAGCAGCACAAAAAAAGAACTTCTCAAAAAAGGTATTTATTTTATTATTGATGTTTCCCACTTTTTAATTTTATCAACTGACTGCTCTTGTGTGTTATTCTTAGTGCGGCACTATTTTGAAAATGGCTGCTGCCTTTTGTGTATTATAGCTAGGTGAAAAATCAGACACCAATGAGCTCGCCAATGTTTTCTAAAGTTGCCAATGAAATCCAACTTTTTTGTGGGAGTATGAGTAATATGACAGTACTACTGAGTATTTACGTTATAGGTAAAATTCTGCTTAACAACAGACTGTTATTAGATTAAATAGGAACAGCTAATTTTATTTTTGCATAGATTTTAAATATAACTGTTTTTAAAATCTACAGAAAAATACGGCTGCTATTTTGCCTAATTTTATGTTATTAGATTAGTTGTCTGAAAAAGGAACTCAAAAGACAGATATAATTTTCAGCATTAATTATACATCAGCACTTTATAAAGCTACATGATTCAACAGTATTAACAAATTGACTATAGCAATACATTTTTTCTCAAATATTAGTTTTAATTTAATAAATTAAATATGAAAAAATATAAATATATTAAATAAATAATTATATAAATAATAATTTAATAAGATAATAAATAAATAATTATGATATTAATGCAATAATAAATTCAAAGTATGATATAATAAATGAATAATTATGATATTAATATGATAAAAAACATAAATACAGTGGAACCTTGAGATATGAGCACATCTATGAGGAAAGTATGAGTGAAAAATTTGCCTCTAAATACAAGCATTGACTCCAGTAATGAGCAATGAGCCAGGCTGTTGGTATAGCGTTTCTCGATCCGGCTCAGCTCAGGGAATCCCCTTGTCAGATCACTCAGTGTTTCTTTGATCTACATGTTTGTGCGGTTGGGAGTTAATGGTTTATTACATTTAACGTGAAAATAATTATTTCACCATGCCTCCCAAGAAGATTATTGCCTCAGACAGTGTTGCAAAGAAAAATAAGGTAGCCATGGCCGTTGAAATTAAGAAAGAAATCATACAAAAACATAAGCATGATGTAAGAGTGAAGGAATTGGCGAAGACGTATGGCCTTTTGACACCAACGGTCTGCACTATTCTAAAGAAGAAGGAAGAAATTAATAAACTTGATGTAGGCAAAGGAGTCACCATTACTTCCAAACATCGTTAGAAGCTGCTGTTGATGTGGATTAACAAGAAGCAATAAGATCGGTGTCAAAAGTTATCATAAAGGTAAACTATGTTTATATTATTTATCAGTGTTATTTAATAGAAAAATTGATTTTTATGTTGATATTATTGGGGGTACGGAATAGATTAACTGAATTTCCATTATTTTCAATGGGGAAGTTTGTTTCTAGATACGAGAAATTCTATATACAAGCTGGAACAAATTAAACTCATATCTCGAGATTCCACTGTATATTAAAATAATTATAATAAAATATATTAAATAAATTAAATATATATATGTTTATTAATAGACACATATAATTACATCAGCACTTTAAAAAGCTATATGATTCAACAGTATTAACCAATGACTACAGCAATCAACTTTTTTTCCAAATACTAGTTTTAATTTCATCCAAACAGGGAGAAAAAGTTTCAGAATGGATGTACAGAATGATTCCAAAATTTTATCTTACCAAATTCTATGCAAGAAAAAATATAACTTTGCTGATAAAAAAGGGGGGCTTTAATTTTAAATTTAACAAAACTTACCAGACACAGAACCATTCATATCAGCTGCTGGAGACAAATCCATCATCCCCTCTCCACGGTTTAACAAACATGAAAGATATGAGGGATCGTCAGCCAAATAATCTAACAGATCTTCTTGCTCCAATTCCAGCTTTGCTTTTTGCCATTCTCTTTCAATCTGCTCCCATTCAACTTGTGGAGTTCCAATGGACACTCTGGGCTTCTGAACATCTCTTCTAAGAAGAGCTTTCGTTTCTTGCTCAAAATTTTTTATTTTTTCTTGAGCCAGGGCACTCAGTTCATTATATCGATGGTGTACAATGTCCTCCTCCAAATTTGCTACTCTTGAACTAGCTCCAGCTTCTGAATCCAGGCCTGGACTTATTGCTTCGCAAGGCAAAGAACCATTTCTAGGTTGCCGCTCCTTTGATAATGACCTTTGCTTTGTTTTCGAAGAACCTGAAATTAGACTAGAACAACTTCCAAAACTGATTTCGGACAGATTTTCGGGCTCTACTTGATTGGCTTCCGTATTATTCAAAGGCAAGAAATTCGTTGGTAAACTACTCTGCATATTTTCATTAATGAGTATATCTGCATCATCTGCTATGATTCCAGATCTCTTCTTTGCATTTTGAGAAGCATCTTTCCGTTTCTGCCGATGCCTCAAATGGCGTGTGGCTGTATTGTAAAGAGATGTAAACATTTCATGAGGAAGGGAATCCAAAGTGTTTTCTGCAATTAAATATACAAATGCTACAGAAAAAAAAAACATTCAGTAATTCATTATAAAATGCTACACAATACTTCTAATTTAATTATCTTTAAAATATAACAAAAAATATTAAACAGAAGCTTAGGCCAGCAAATGTGAAAACTAATTAATCTCTCCGTCATGCGTAACGCGTCTAGCGCATTCAAGTGAAACTTTTGCAGGATGGCTGTGATGTGCTTCAAGCATTCTTTTACATTTTAAAACTTTTAAATGTTTGAAAGGCTTTTTAAATGTTTCCTTATTTGAGTTTTTATTTTTGTTTGTTCTAATAGCTCCTAGAGGGCAGCACTAATCAGACATTCTATTTCAAATTGGATTTGCACAGGGTCTTATGAATATTCGTGCCATTTTGCATAAGATGCAAGACAGTGGAATATGTCTACTCAGCAGGGGGAAGGAAAGTGTGTGTATGTGATTATGGCAAAGCCTCGAGGGCTATCTGCCTAAAGGGAGGGATGCCTTTGTGGAGGACTTTCTAAGGGAAACTGGCTTGTATACGCATTACACATGGGGAAAACCACGAAAACGCCCATGCAGCCAGCTTGTTCGCGGGATTCAAACCGTGGACCAAACTACCAGTGTTCAGCGTCTTTACCACTCGGCCGCTGGTGAGAGGAAAGAGGTTGTGAAGTAGAAAGACAAGAAGGATATATGTTTGATGAGTACAGTCAGTGGACTGCTTGGATCAAATGCTATCAAATTATCCTGCAGTGAGAAATAAGCAAAGATTTATTATTCCAAAACATCTCGACATTTATTAGATATGGCCATATTTAACGCATATGCTTTGTACAAGAAAAGTAGTGGCAAATTAGATCACTTGGTCTTTCAGGCTTGATCTTGTAAACATAATCATTACTGAATATTACAAACCAAGAACAAATGCTCAGAAAGAGTGTTATTTGAGCAGCTGTGATGTATCATGTCTTACTGAAAGGCACTTTATAGACCACATCCCACCTACTGCAAATCAAAAAGTACCAAGAAGATGTTACATTTGTTGAAGAAAAACATTGTTAAGGGAAAAGGTGTGCAAAGAAATGTAATACTATTGTAAAGAATGTGATGTAGGATTATGTATTACCCCATGATTTAGAGTTTAACATACTGTGAAAAATTTATAAAGAAAAGGAGTTATCTATTAAAGAAAAATGTTAGTACAATTTGAATATATTTTTCAAAATAATAATCATGTTTTATTTCCTTATAATTTTACTTAGTATTCATTTGCATTCATCCACTGCAAACAGATGGAAAGTGATATCTGTACAGAGAAAACAACACTACATGTGGCAAAAAGCAGAGGGTTGCTGGGGAGAAATTTTCACGGACAGGAGTGGACGGCGAAAGGGTTAAAAGTACTAAAGTTGCATAATCTATCAATGTTCTTCAAATTTGATTTATATTTCAAAATTTTAACATCAGCAACAAAGATAAATGACAAGATAGGAACTGTTTCAGTTTCTTTTCTTTAATTACTAATGTACAAATGAAATGTTGTTACATTGATTATAGCAAAGTGACAATTACCAAATAAACTATTACACAAATTGACAATTACCAAAGATAAAAAATGCAAAACTATAATATACAATACAGGATATTTAATAACATTAATGTTTCTAATCATACTTAATTCAAAATAATACTTGAGTGAAGCTTTGGAAAAAATTCGCAGCAATTTACTATCCTCACTATTTTTCTACACCTTTATTAAATGAATGTAGTTGATTTAATCACGATTCACATAATAATGCTACAAATTAACATTACTCATATTTCATACTGATTTGCATTTCTACATAAAATTTTACATCTTCAAGTAACTTCCAATTACCTGAGGCCAGACAAGCCCAAAAAGAAAAAAAAAAAAAGAGACTAAATCAATTTATTTTTGAACGATGGAAAAACTACTACCATAAAAAGTCAATGTAAAACAGAACTTCTACATAAAATACAAAAACTAAAATGGCTGGGATAACAACAGTGATTAGATGATTGTTAGAATATTTTATAATTGTTTTTATCCACAACAGTATAAAATTTAAATTAATATAATCTAGGATTGATAAACATTGTTAAATCATGGGTTAAAAGCAAATTTATCAATCCTTAAAAAAAAAAAAAAAAAAAAAAAAAAAAAGAGGAAGAAAGAAAGAAAGAAAAAGAAAAAAATCAAGTGTACAGCCATTAACCTTCCATTTCATAGTTACTGCTACTGGATATACAAGAGTAATGTAAACAAGAACAAACAGTAGGTGCACTATAAATTGAGGAAGAAGCATAGACAGGGGCAGGAAGAAACAAAAGATGTGCACACTTGCTAGAGAAAGAAAGTATTTTTTAATATGGATTTATTTCAATAACCAGTCAAATAAAGGTATTCAATATATTAAACTGTTTGAGATGCAGGTAAATTTTCAATAGTATTTTTCTGTTAAGTATACATGGGTTATTCCTCCTCCTCCTCATGCTTTTCTAACTGCCCTCAGATTAAATATAATCATTATGTCTGGTATTACTCCAGTTTATGAAATGACAATGTTTACTAAATCTGACGTTTTGAAACATGCAATTTATGTACATATACATTTTACCATAAAGCAATAAAAACTTAAAGTATGATCAATAACAATAAAGTAAAAGTTTAAAAGCTGTTAAAATATTAGGAAATTCAATGGAAAAAACTGACTGATTGCTACTAAAAAAATTTTACATTACCGTCCAACTTATTCAAGTTGCCTAGAAGTGCATTTGATTGCATCGTAGAGGGAGGGTGAGTTTTTCTTTTATCTTGAGCATTTACTTCCAGAGGTATTAACTCCCCACAGTCCTCAAAAAGCCATTCAGCCTATATTAAAATAATAAATTTAATAATTAAAATCAAACTAAAATAAATATCAAGACTTGATAAAGCTTTAGCTTTTAACAAACAATATTCTAAAAATTAAACAATAAAAGTCACTTAAAAAGATTAAACTATTGTTTTTATATGGATGTCTGTTTCCCTTGCATATTTTCTCCCTGCCTTCAACATGCAAATTTTTTTTTTTTTTTAAAGATACAGCAGCAATATGTAAGACACAGAAAACAGACTATGCCATGTTGTAAAGAGTTAAATTTTTTAGAGTAAAAAATTTCAAAAATCAATTATGTTATCTGTAGGCTTTAAAACATGAACCTTCGACTTGTTAGATGAATGTGCTAACTGCAAGATAATTATAAATGATCTATAAGGTTTTAAAACAGTGTATTTAAGAAAAGATTAACAAAGGAAAATAACACATGAAAATAAATGTTATATGTCCAAGTTTTCCTTCATATCATCACATATTTTCAGTGTGGATTCCTCTGATCACAAGACACACATCTAGGCAGTATTCGAGTTTAGTCCACACTTGAGTTACTAATGGCTATAAATGCACTGGCAATGCAATTATTGTGCTCGCCTATAAAGTTTCTAGCAGTAGAAGCATGTACACAGAACATCATTAAATCATCTTCAGAACATCACTCAGTCCAGCATTATGGGAATTCCTCACTGAGGTAGTTAAACGATTTTTAAACTAAGATGCAATCATCTTAGAAAACATCTAACATTTACTTTTGTGTATCATTTATTATATCATGCATAATATTTTGTTAAATACAGTATTTTAAAAGCCATTGAGTTATAATCAGCTTGCACTTACACCATGAGAGCCCACACAAGAAAAAGCAATAGTTAATTTTATTTTTAATTTTTTAACCCTGGACAGGTGTTAAAGTGATAGTTAATTATAGCGATTCTAATGCAATACAAAGTCCATAATCCGGACTCGTCGGGCGATTATAGATCATCAATTTAAATCTGGTAAGATGGCATGTAGAAAGAAATTATACAATTAAAAATATGAAACTGTAATTAATGAAATAAAGAGCAATTATGATCTAAAGGGTATTAAAATTTACAAAAAAAAAAAGCTTAATATTTATTTGTTTACTTTATTAAACATTTCTTTCAATGTAAGTTTTTAAGTTGCTTCGTTTTTTGTGCTAAACGCGCATGCATAAACATTAAACGTGCATGCGTAAAGCATACAAAAAACAAGTTTGTGGCTTTGAGGTCCGGATTATAGATCATTCCGGATAATGGATGTCTGTATTACAGACTTTGTACTGTACAGACACATTTATTTGTTTATACATATTCATTTGAAGTATGTCAAAAATTACATATGCTGGTTTTTTATAAAAGAGATTTTTAATAATTTTTATTTTTATTAATGTATTGTATTAAATAAAATTCATGATTGGAAGTTTCTAACACATATATTTATTTGAGGTAAATGAAAAATAATATTTCTCTAGAATTAATTATTTTATAAAATTTTTAAGGGGGGGGGAATGGTGAAGTTTTAAAATTAATCTGATAACTACCTGAGTACTCCTTTCATAATGTACCAAACATTGGAGCAATTGGATGACAATTTAGTGTATGCAAATTTTTTTCCAAAATTAGGCTTAGCAGTGCAAAATGCCCATTCCCACAAGACAATGCATGCAGTTAGTGTGCCCTCCCAAGAAAGTAGTTTGGTGATTGAGCTACCCATCATGAATGGGTTGGATACTAACTTGACTGGAAAAAGGCACAAGACCCCAGCCAACCAAAGCCAAGTGATGATGAGTTACATTGACCATCCCAACAGCATTTCACTCAACTGTTATACAAAACAATAATGTTAGTATATCTATTCATATATGCACTTAATCTGCTAAGTTGTTCTTCTACAGAATTGGTATACACATTCTTTCTCCGATTTTCAAAAGGTAAAACTTGCAAAAAAAAGGAAGGAATAGCTTAATAAATATGGTTTAAGTTCAGCAGTTATTAAGGAAAATGCGATAATGGTTAAAACTGCAAAATATTCACAATTCTACTCCAGTCAATTAACACTACTTTCAGTCACTAAAAAGAAAAGAAATAAGCAACATTGCAGACTTCAGGAAGCAAAAGTTTTCATGCCCAATATGCAAAAACTTGTTAAAAGGCACAAAATTTTCAAGAGCTCATATCAAACTTTCAATACTAAATAACATTTTTAAAAAAAGCTTCGCACAAATAAATCATTCTAACATACCCACCCATCCAGGTCAAATATAAAAAATTGATAAGAAATCAATTTCCTCAATCATACACACACATGCTTATGCTAAATATTCTACTAAATCATCCACAATATGCCATAGAAAATACATCAAACACACACATGCTTATGCTAAATATTCTACTAAATCATCCACAATATGCCATAGAAAATACATTTTCAGGTATAGAACAAAATTATATCAGTATGCACATAAAAAGACCAGTATGTAATTATCACTAACCATAAATTCTGTTATTATGTTTTACAGCAAACATTTTAGTATTCTGTCACAAAAAAAAAAAAAAAAAAAAAAAAAAAAAAAATACATGCATCCAGAAGAAATTGAGGCACAATTACAAAACTCAGCAAGATTGTAGTCTGGTAAGAGATATACAAATGATTTATATTTTAGCACCTATGAGACAAGAGTAAGAGTGCTAAGTGCATATGAGATGCGCAGCTGGGAGAGTTTGAGAGCATCTGCACTTGTGGTGTAGGGCAATTCAAACAAATCTGTCAACTTGGATGGACGGTACTGTGACTAGAGATGCTTCTGAGACATAAATGGCGGCAGTACAAACAGTTGTCAGACTTTGAGAAAGGGCGTATAGTAGGCCTCAGAGAAACAGGTTGGTCGAACAGGCATATCGGCCACCACCTTGGTAACAGCAATATGGTACTTGCTCAGTGTTGCCAACAACAGATTACAGAAGGGATAGTCTACCGTCCCGGAGAGTCAGGACGTCCAAGGAACACAAATGAGCGCAAGAGTCATGCAATCATAACAGCGGCCACTTCTGCACTAACAATGTCGCTAGCATCAATTCAATGCCATTTACCACCTTCCAGGTATCTGGTGGCATTAAGGGAAACCATTTGGGAACAACAGAAAAATGCTGATATATGTTGCTGACGTCCATTAAGACACCTACCACTGACTCAACAACATAGGAAGTGTCGATCGGAATTTTGCCAAACTCAGGCAAGTTGGAGTGTGACCAACTGGACATGTAATTTTCAGCGATGAATCCCGATTCAGTCTCAGTGCTGATGGCCAACACACATGCAAGTGAAGGCGACCATGCCAGCGCCTGATCCTGCATTTGTTGTTGAGCGAAATATGGCAATTACATAAGGTGTGACCGTGTGCGGAGAGATTTGTTGGGACACATGATCACTTCTAGTCGTCCTTCAAGGCACTATGATGGCTTGCAGTTACACAGACGACATTTTAATGCCAGTTGTACTGCCCATGTTATCAAGTTGCCCAGGTGCTATTTATCAGCAAGACAATGCTCGTCCACATAATGCGTAACTCTCCCAACAATGACTTCAAGAATATGATGTACTTCCGTGGCCTGCCATATCACCAGACCTCTTGCCAATAGAGCACACTTGGGACATGCTTGGAAGGTGCAAAGATTATGGCATGATCTTCTGCAGAGGGTCACAGGTGACCTACTTGATTCGATGCCATGACGTGTTCCTTTAGATCTAGAAGTAGCTATACTACTTAGTGATTTGTAGCCTTCAAGTTTTAACTTCTTAATAAAATTATCTTTCGTTCTGAATTTGTAATAATTTGTTTATCTCCTCATACACTACATACATGTTAAGTTTCATGATAGTAGTTCATTTTCTTCTGGGTGCATATATTTTTTGTGTCAGAGTGTATATATAGTATTCTGTTTGTATCTTTTAGTGCAAGTTAAATACACTTAAAATGACAAAAATGATTTTTTTTATTTTAATGGACTACCTAATGTGCATATGATGGCCAGTAGTACTTCAAAATTTAAGTCCAGGTTAAATTTTTGTTTCCCCTAATCACATTCTAAGATGAAAACACCTGTATTAGCCAATGCATGACTGTTTTATAATAGTCTTATTGCAGATATTACTACAGTAATGAGGTCAGTACTATACTCATAACATTATATTTATAATATTATATAGATTAATTCATGTTTTTAATATAGGTCACAGTCAAAGTACTACGGAATTTTAACTCTCAGAATTATACAGGATTCATTTAATTTTAATAATACCAGAAGGCCTGACCAAAAAATAATATTACAATTTCTGTCTGATTGGAATGGAAATTTCTTACAGATTATAATTTTGTAACAAAACAAAACAAAAAATTGTATATTTTCAATAATATCATTTCATAAATTTTAATAGCTGAGCTTCAATTTCAATTTTTAATAAAATTCGAAGAT